AAGGAAAAAACTCCAGAAAGAAGTGCCTGGGACCTAATCATACAAGAGAACCTACACCTCCACCAGCTGTAGAAACGCAGGAGTACGTTCATGTACAGCCAATTCACATAATTAGTTCTACTGCGTTAGTTTTATTTGCATTCACTCTGTATGGCCGTGCACTCTGTATTTACAATTCAGTTAGCGCCAAAAATTAAAGGCTATGCCAAAGCTTATCTGCATATCCGTTAGGGACTGTCCAGAGACATCCCGAAATAAAAATCAGCTCCTGCTCACTTACGTTTATCAGGTAGCGGTAGATACCGTATGGCAGTGCCGATTTTATACCTTTCTAATTGAGGTTCCAAAAACTGTAGGATGTTCCCGATATATGGTCGTTACGAAGGCAAATCCCACGGTAGTGCGCGGGAGGTAGAAAGACAGGCAGAAGGTTTTTTCTATGGGCTTCATATAAAACATTAAAGGCTGAACTCTAAAATGATATTGCCTTCTCCGCTGCATCTGGCACACATTGATGTCTTCGTATATGTTACTTCTCCCTCGAAGACAAACATCTTTCTCAGGATTTAGATAACGTTAACTTTCCCATCTTTGCAATTATGCAAGATTCACGGTAGTTACGAAAGGAAAGCTTGCCATACCCAATCATAACGTCGCACCGTAGACGAAGTTAGAAGGCCCGCCATTCAAGGGTTGTGATACGCACCTAATATTTAGAATTTATTTGAACCGCCGCAGTTTGTAGCAGTATGGTTTAGCAGGTGCCTAATCAATATTCATCGCGCTTCTGCAAGATTGAACAAGTTTGGAAACATTATAAACCGGGAACGCTGCCGCACTCATGAGCACAAACACGATACTAGTGCGACATGTACACTTCCGGCAAGGCGAGTACGTACTGTGATTTGTATGAAGGGCGGAGCACCATAGTCAACGCTACATATCAGGTAAATATTACATACCTAAACCTGACCACGGCCGAGTTTTTCGTCTACGGGTTCCTTATGTTTTTCTTTCACGTTCTTCAACATTCACTTTGGGAGTGAATTGTTGCATTACCTAATGTGCAACATGCCGCTGCATAAAATTGCTGTCACATAACACAAGAACATTCATTATGGCTAAGATTCGCCAATCCATTTTTCGTCCCATTCCCTTATGCCCATTTCCAAACACCCAAAAAGACAAGCCTGCCTCCGCCCTGCTGGCACCCGTCATAACCAATCCTTGCCCACCCACCCAGGTAAAGCACTTTCTCAGAAACATCCACAAGTCCTTGACAAGGTACACAGGCCTTCTACTCATACTCCGGGTTATTCACCGCCCCGCAATACACACAGAAAATGGCGTCCACCGAATTATCTGGAAATTCGCACGTGCTACATGACCATGTAGCATAATATTTATCATCGCGTTTGCTAGCGCACTGGGGCGCAGAGGGGTTGCAGTGCAGGTGCATAAAAGTTTAGTAGTTAGTTAGGAGTTGAGGGTAGAGGGAAAAAGGAGGTTAAGCAGGCGGTACTCTGGTTCGGTTTGTCTGTGTCTGGGAGGATATCGATGAGTTCAACCCGGGAGGAGGTAGGTATATATACGTGATATAGATCCATTAACCCGTCCAGCGCTATGAGCAACACCACACGATTTGGAGTATGTAGTATTGATATTCCACAGTAATTAGTAGTCACATGCACGAGCCCAAAATTTGAGTGTAACCCCACTGCAGGAAGCCCAAATCTAAAGTTATCCATATAGCCGCAAAAACTTTATCAGCTCCCTCCCTAACTTCTGAGTATTCAAGAATGATCGTAATACGAGCAGCCCTCCATTCAAGTACGGGGCATGATTTCAAGCTGCACACTCCTGAACGACAACACACATATACATGACTAACTAATCAGAAAGTCAGTTGGACTGCCAGCCCTGGAAGTCTGTAGAATTACAAATTGTAGAACAAGTCTTCTCTGTAGACCTGTTCTCATGCTATTCTTCGAGCCAGCTGAATACTTTGGCTATGTCGAAGTCTTTGGGAGCTAGATAATATCCAATATCCCTAATCATGGCTCAGTTAGCTAACCTATTCGGCAATCACGCATATTGACAGTTAGTATGGCCATCCCATTCGGCAATCAGGGAAATTGGTAGTTGGGTTGGACATTCCATTCGGCAATCATGCTGATTGATAGTCCGATGCCTATTCCATTGGGTAATAGTACTCCTCCTAGTCCCCTTACTGGAATCGAATGGGAGTAATGATTATTTAAAATAAAATAATTCGGTAATAATACAAATTTAGCAATTGTACAATGCTGCAACTTACTGCTTTGTGTTAATCTCTTATAATAATTGAACCCAGGTACTAGTATTTATATCATTCAGTTTCCATAGTCTTGTTTAACTATTATTTCAAGTCTTAGCAGTTGAATATATAAGGAGATCTATCTGCTCTATCAATTCAGACACCTATTTACACTGACCAAAACACATCTTGCAATCCTAAGCTATACTTTTGGTAACATTGGCCAACAATACAACTAGTCAATAGAAAAAAAAAAAAAAAAAAAAAAAAGTCCTGTCCAACTCTAGTTTTATATTAGTTTGTTTTCAGTAAAAACGTTCCCTAATCGATATGAATTCTACAGAGAAGTATGTACGGATATAATTCAGTGTGTACAGTAGTTACAGATTTGTATGATTACCTAATGGAGAAGGCATCAGGCATGATTGCCGAATGGAACGGCTATCCCAGCTACCAGCCCAATGGGATGGCCATCCCAACTGCCCAGGAAGCTAGAGTATAATGTAAAAGATTGACCAAGCAAGAAGCAACAAATCAGAAGCACACTAGGCATTATCCAAAATATGTGTTCGGCATCTTTGATATCAAAATTGAATATCTGCCTGCTATATGTCCTTCTTAGAACTAAGCTTTCGCAATGTCTGTAAATAGCGCCCTACCGTATTGACAAATCGACATGATTGGTGTACGGAACAGAACAGATCCTTTGATACTAAACTTGGCGGAAGGGTAATTGGACACACACGAATGACACAGGCATCATAACTCACTCCTGCCAGGGTGGTAACGTGAGTTATGGGGTTTCAGATCATCATGACATTTTATATCAGCTGAGACATTATACTAGCCGTTTAGAGAGCCTCGCGATGTGATGCATGCACAGTGATGAGAGGCTATTCTGTGAAAATTATGGCTATCTTAAACCCCATCCTGAAAACTCTCCTCTAGGAAATCCTCAATGCCTCCGGAGAGGCCCTGGTCTAGTAGTTCCAATCAGCCCTAATAATTTAGGTCCACCTTAAGGGTCAACTCCTCTCCCTCCTAAACCCTACTCTGCTCAGGCGTAGCTCAATATTGGATGCATGACTACTCGGAGGTTGAATTAACATCTATATTTCGTGTTAAAGGTTGAGCATGCATGCCACATGGCAAGTTTGGAGGACTTCAACTCGAGGTATTTAACCTCTTATTCTGAAGGCTCCTATTAAATCAGCTAAACGCATTTCAGTTATGTCCTTAACCTCCGCTTAGACCCCTTCCTTGACCCCTTCTACAGGCCTCATCAGCACCCACAAAAGATCTTCAGAGGAACAAATTTCTTCCCATTTGGGGTTGCTAAGAGTCTCTTTGGTTGTGGGAGTATGCTAGCATTTTTCGATATTAACGGCCTTTATAGCAACAATATGCTCAAGATATATCCGAATATGTCCAAGTAGAGTTTATACTAGTGCAGGGCACTGCAGCAGCTACGGGATTAAGCCCTAGGTCGGATTCTGTATTAGACACGAGGTATGTAAGACGATATGTTAGATATTATAGTAGTCGCATGAATTAGCAGACGCTCTGTTAACCAATCGTGTCGTTTGCGCTAATAAATTGCTGCGAATAGTGAACTGCATAATCAAGCATTTTTGTGTAACATTAAACGGCATAATCTAAGCATTTTGGTGTATGAACTCACGCTATTGCTCGGAATCAGCATGTTTTTTTTTTTTTTTTTTTTTTTTCACGTGTGCGCAACCATAGGGGTCGTCACCTGGAAGCCCGGGTGGGTTCAAGGCTAAGTACAGAAAACTCCCGTTACAAGCGTACGGTCAATTGCATAGGAGTACTGAGTATTTAAAAAAAAAAAAGAAAAAAGCGTACGGTCAAGGCCGGAGGTTGCTTATACCGGGAGAAAATCACATGACGAAATGGACCAATGAGACAGGAAATGAGTACTAGGATTCATGTAAGAACTCTGTGATCCTCCGCTGGGTTTGTTTGGCCTTTTCTTGGGATACAAATAACCCTCAATTCGAGGTTTCTCCCTTTGCAACATTTCATCCAACTGCCTTGTATTTCTATCAGTCTGCAGAGAATATAGAAGAAGTGACAAACAAGCGCCTAATGAATGGTACGCCACGGAGCATGGGTTTGCTGCTGCATAGTTCCTGATCTCTGGTCTCTCATATTTTCGGATCATGCATGGCGCGGTACTCTCAGATGTCTTTTTTTTTTTTTTTTTAAATACTCATTACTCCTATTCAATCCCAGTAAGGGGACTATGAGGAGACTCTCAGATGTCGACATAGTCTATATCAACTACATATCAGTAGGCAACATAAGAACACACAATGAGCTCTATACACACTGCACATATAGGCAAGATGCTGACAGACTATCCGGAATATTGGAATATTTACTCTGCTTGGTTATATCTTAGCGTACATTCGTTACATGACCCATACAGCAATGCGGCCCATTGACTAATTGACCTGATTAGTAGCCGAATAAGTCAGAATAACGACAGAGGCCTACAGAATTCCTAAATACACATTAAAAATCCGCATCCAAAGCCGGTCCATATTACATAGAGAATTGCTACCATATCATCCTTTCCTGCCTCCGTAATAATAATAGAAAGAAATAGCAAAACACAAAATTCTCAGTGGAAACAGCCTCGTACCTGTATATAAGTGAAGAACACCTTCAATGACATCATGATTGTGTGGTGTAATGGTAGCACGTATCGTTGTGGAATTCCTTATCTTGGGAAAGCAATAGTCCCAATACAATTGCGGTTTGATTCCGTGCACAGCCATGGGCATTTTGTTAAGACTGTAGCACAGGTAGCAGTTTAATTTTTGCGTTCTGCGACTTCTTTAATCCGCGTATGAGGGGGCAAGTACACTGTCCGTCCCCCTGGCAGATTAACTTGCTCCAGTCGGGTTTCCGGGTGGCTCCTAATGGTCCCCTTACTGGGACCGAATAGGAGTAATGAGTATATAGCTAAAAAAAAAATAAAAAAAATAAACACTGTCTGTCCCCCCATTCCCATAGCAATGAGATCCATATGCATGTCTTTGGTTCAAGTATCCTATAAACGGCTTACGCAGGCTCGAAGTCCTCGCATCTACATAACACTAAAGTATTTTCGAGTCCCAGCTTGTACAAGACGGCAGTAAAAGGTGCTCCGACTAATCAATGGGCCAATATTGTAGCTCCAAGATATGCATAAGTATTCTCCAGTCAATTCGGGTACTCTTTGGATGGAAAAGTCATTCAGTACACTGGGCTTAGGCGACTAGATCTGGAACGGGATTTGGCTTCGCCGGAGGCCTTCCACCACTTGACAATAGGCGACTCGAGACTTTTGTGAAAATTTCTCAGTGGCTGCGAAACTCATTTTTCATTGGCTGCGACATGCAGATACCTGGATGAGACAATTTAGGTAGCAGCCGTTGAGATATAACCAGACTAGTTGAGAGTGTGGCTTGTAATATTTGTTATTCGGTGCTAAAAGGTAGAGAGAGATTCCTCTCCGCTCATTATCTGCACATTCCTGTATCTCCATCTATAGTCACCACAATGAACCAAATTTCCGTGTCAGCTGCTCGTACTCCAGATGATTTTAGAGCGAGGGTTAGTGGAAGGGGTATACCTAGAAGGGGACATTGACGTTGAAGGCCAAGATGATGATGATTGATAAGGATTAGGTAGCTAGCTAGTGAGTTCGAATTCATGACTGTGTTGGGTGCTCGATGTCCAAAAGTCTCGAGACCGAGCCCCGTCTTGTCTCGAGACGTCTCGTGCCCAGGCCCACAATTGACAATATATGCGTACGGACCTTGTGCATCCCAGTAATTTCCGCCGTTTTCTGAACCAAAACCTCTTTACCTCATCCCGTTGGGTGCTGTGCTGTACGAGAAATCACTAGTTGCGGGGAACGTTTGTAGTTGAGATATCTTTGGGATATCCTTAGGTATAGATGTACATACCTGCTGCATGTCACTGCAAAGTTCCCTCCTCCCTATAGAAGCATCCGTATATACTTTATTTTTTTTTGTTACTCAGTCCTCATATGCGATCCCAGTAAGAGTATAACTGTTAAAGACAAAGTTACGAAGTTATGGGTGTTTTGAATCTTTTGAATATTCTAAGCGGTATGGCAGACGCATGCATATACTGGTATTATTCTCGTTGGATCTCGATATAGCTACTAGAATGGTGAGGCTTCGGATATAATGCAGTAAGTTCCCCTAGGAGTCGATGTTAAGTTGATTATATACTATTGCATCCCAATGGAAGTCCAAGTCACGAGAGTCTCAAACAAGGTCCCATGGTGCCCCAGACTCCCTCCGCAACGATCCGGATCACAAATGTGTTTCTGATACCGTATAACCTGCCAAGGTGTCTTCATATGTACAATATATTCCGTACTAGAGGAGGAAATTGTGATTGATATGGAAGGCAACCTGCATACATCTGCAGCTCCTGAGGCGACATGCAGGAACAAATCAGATAACACAAGTAGTGTGTTCTTGGTGGTAGGAAAAAATCAGATAAGATTCAATCCTAACCATATCAAGTACCATACATTCCCCCAGAAAAAGGACGAAGAGGTTATGAGCCACGAACAATATCTCCGACTCGGTTTGTGGTACAGCTATGCGGCAAAAATTCAATGAAATGTATACTTGCTACCCATAAAAATCTGTAGCAGCCTTTTTATACAAGGGGGTACAGGTGCGGAGGAATGTTACAAAGAGGAGGTCGATGAAAGTGATGCAATTCGATTGTGCCTATCACTGGAAGTCAGTGGAATGTACAATGCGTAGGGGAAAGTCTTCACGCAGCCCTTTTTATGCATCGATTACACTGCTGTATTTCTGCGAGATATAGCGGACGGACCACAGCGGACGCTCGCACTGGCACTGCATATTATGCAGGGGGGGTGCGTTATAACTTTCCCTCAGAAACTGTAAATCCCATGGCAGTAGTAGCTCCAGGAAACAGGAGAGATTCGAGTTTTGGAGAGGATCCATAAAGAAATTGCCGAAATTCAAATGCAAGATCGAAGATAACTCTGCCACCCAGTGTGGAGGACTTGATAGAACCTATGGAGTCACAAGTACTTCTAACAACAGCTCTATTTCTGTGGAGGCGTCTTGCACGAGGACAGTTACTAGTAGTCGATATGCTAAGGCTCTTCCGAGAGAGTCAATTCGTTAAGCTGCTCCAAACTTCGGGATACCTTGAACATTCCCTCTAATTGAGGATCTCTGTCTTAATGCCGTACCTATACCTCCTTATCGATTTATGAGAAATGAGTAGTTAATCAAATTCCTCACCATGCTTGAAGATAGAGTTACTTCAATATTATACGCCCGCGGCAATCTGTATCAATTCTGGGTGCTTGTATGGAAAACTCAAGTGGCATGACATTGGAAATATCAGTGGTGGGGGACAAATAAAACTACGGTAAAGTATGGGTCTGTTGTGACACGATTTTCACATTGGAAGCCTTTTCACATTGGAAGCCGACAGAACTCTAACTGACTGGTTCTCACCACTTACGTTTTGGAATACTTAGGATATGGTGTGTAAGCGCGAATTAGGCAGTGGCTCCTAGGAGAAGAAATCTTAAACGTTGGTCTAGGGGGTCACAGGGCCCTGCAGAAGTTGCAGAAAAAGAGGCATTGCAATTATTATAAAAGAATCCAATTTCTCTTCTAGGCAAATTTTCTTAGGAAAAGGACAGTAGATCGTACACTTTGTCCTGGTATTCGTGAGTTTATTCCATGCTTGGTCCTTGTAATTGTAATACCGTATACTCTCGATGTAATAATTTCCGATATAAGAATGTATTTGATGTAAGATTGAGAGGCGACCACACCTGTACAAAAGAATAAATTGGCTACCAGAATATTCTCGAGTCTGTTCCCTCGCGGTTCTTTTTTTGTAGTCACTGCCTGATTAGGTAGCTTAGCGATAAAGATCTCTAGACTTCTGAACTTGAGTCCAATATGAGCATAGTAAGTGACATGATTCGATGGGGACCTCTCAATTAAGGAAAAGCGGAAGTTAAATTACATCGGTCGAATCCAGCGACTGGCTTTCAGAGCCCTTTTCCAATGGCTATTAAGATCGCCAATTAATGCAGATCGCAAGATCTTATCTGATTCACACTTGCGCACCAGCCCCTCGCTTCTCCGATATGTGGAAGAATCAGATAAGATTAAAACACCAGTCATGATTTGTGAAGCAGTTGTGACGTGTTGCCCCCACCTCCGTATTTGTATTCAAGGTGTAGACACCGGACGTGCGTGATTGTTATTACCACAGGATCCTTAACAACACAACTTAGTTAGTTGAATTATGCTAGGTAGTATGCAAACAGGTCATCGTAGCCAAATAAATTCAGAGGCTTTTTTACTTTTTTTTCTTTTACCCACACTCGACCTAAGGTCATGACGGGGTCCCGAAGCCTCCCCTTTAAAGGTTCGACTTAAGCTTTCGGTACAAGAAGCCTACCGAGCCGAAGAAAAGACAAAGGAAAGTAACACATGCAGGCTAATTGAACTACAGTACACATTAACGAGACACTTTCTCGTCATATAGGGGAATTCGAACCGCAGCACAAGTTCAATTTCTGACTACGTTAATCGAAGGAAATCTTTTTTCAGGGTATGAAATGCATTTAATTATTCTTGCACCGAGTGAACGGTTCGGTTCAGCCAGTGCCGAACGGTGGCACAGGATTTTTGATCCTTGCCCGCATGAGAATATTTGAATTTTATAGCAGCCCTTGGCCTAATATCGCTATCGTGAAACAAGTACATCCCCTGTACTCCACCATAGATGTTCTCCATAGCGTGGATTTTCTTATGTACATTCATTACCCGCAATAAGTTATGCGAACCAACGGTAGGGGACTGCAGTCAACCTCGCCTGTCCCAATCATTTTGGCATTCGCTCTTGGCTGCAACTGGTTAACCGGAAGGGAGTTTGCTGCGTATTTCGGCGAATTCCCCATACCAAGGTATGAATGACTTTGCGTGCACCTTCCACATTTTACTTCGCTGCCCTTGCACTGCTGAATAACTGCACTGAGGTTATTACAGAGACAACATCTTATCTAATGTCCCGGTGGGGTACCTAGTACACTGAAATGCCAAAGAACAGTCTCCACATTCAACTGGTATAACATACAAGTATATATATTCCAAACATTATGATGTTTCAGATAACACTCTGCAGGATGCAGGGGGAAGATCCATGCTTGCACCTAGTGAGTTTTTCTCAACGAAACCCCGTCGCCAAGTGATTCGCAACCGCAGCACCCTGTCGATTGCTGGGATGTTGTGGGAATCAGCAAACGCTGCTGTGAACACATACTTAGCTAGTTTCCCAAGTCCGATGTGTGAGCAGACGACAGCGGGGTATTGCACCAAGGTTGGTAGGAACCAGTCAAAATCCATCAATCCACATATTTATACACTTCTAAACAAACAAAGATAGTAGTTGTACACAGCATCATAATCCGCTATTTTCTCGTACATGTATAAAATAAGGAAACCGTCCAAAAATATCCCTGGCATATATCCATATATCCAAACCATATCCAAACCAATATTTCTCACAAAATTCAATATCGACAGACATGTAGTCGTCACATGTAGCCCCCCATGTTATCGGGCTTGAAGGCCCCTCTCAGCCTGCAAAAGAGGACTCCATGGGCTGAATTGACATTGGAAACCGAGAACCACAAAGTACAATAACGAATTCCTATGTTTATTCCCACTCCCATTTCGCCGTTTA